TTGGAACCCGAAAAAGTTTTTTATTACTAATCTAACTGTACACTTTTATAAAATAAAATGAAAGGTTCTACCAAACTTCACTTAAAGCAAATACAAACATTTTAAAGGTTTTATGTTTAAAAAACATTCCCATCATTGGCCTTGATGGAATCAAGTAGAATTCAAGGTTAGTCAAACATAAATATACCAATAAACGTATAGATCTATAAAGACAAGAGCTGCTTTGTTGTACAATAGAAGTGAACATGAAAAGTCACGTATCAGCCAGATCCAAGTTTTCAACAACTTCTGATCATTATATATAGTGACGTCATAAAGCTTTGCTTCAGATATCATGTTTCCTCTGTACGACGGCAATAAAAGCCTTGGTACATACTGTAATCCTCAGAGGAGAATACAGGTCAGTATACGTGTCTATCCTGTACATCATGTATTATATAGTTCAGTTATTATGTATTTTGCCTCTCTTCTTTTTAACCCAGGCTAATGTTCATCACCACACAGCTTCTCATACTGTTGGTTCACTGGAAGGAATTGTCGATTCTCTGTCGTCTACTGTGGAAGAATTAACAGATCTGGCTAAACAGAGAATTACTACATTAGAAGGTAAAACATTTCTTTATAATTTAATTACTTAGAAAAGACGTTTTCGTATTAATGTAAGATAACGTTAATGAAAAGAACAGTCATTGATTTTAGTATACTGGTAAGCGTTTTCAAGTTTTGAATCAATGTTTATACAAATTTATATTTATACTTTACTATCTGTTCTATTCCAGGCTCTATTTGTTCTAAACACAACGTGTTTCACACCATAACGCCCATCTCGATCAACGCAACACAAATTAGAGAAAAACCTCTCTACCGGTAGACTGTTCCGCCATCTATCATCACTTAAATCAAACAAACGGCGTCTTCAAGATATGGCCACATTTTCTGAACCACCCATCTCTGTATACTGTGATATGGAGACTGCAGGGGGAGGATGGACGGTAGGTGATCCAGAAGAAGTTTGAAATGTCCAAAACAAAAAACAGTCTTAGTTAGATAGAATGAAGGCCACATTGTTAATTCTAATATTTTAAAAGTATTTTCAAACTCTCTTTTTTTATATCACAAAGGCGAACATATAATTATAGAGTAAAGTAAAATAATGTTCCTACCGTTTCCTTGTAACATAAACATTAGGTTGCACGACATTTGTAAGCATGAAACCACAATTCAACTATTTGTTCCAGATAACAGCATACAAAGTTTGGCATTTTTGTTAGACTGATTATATCACT